CTCAATCTTCTTCACGCGCGACTGTCATTTCCCAGCGAGAGTTCCGCTGGGAGACGCCGCCAGCAATCCAGGGCACCAACGATTTTGGATCAGACGCCCTTTTTGCTACTGATATCGGTCCTCGCCCTGCTCCTCACCGACATGAAAGAAACGCCCGCGCCGCATGGAACTGCAGCTGCTCTTCTAAAGCGGAAGCACCCACATGAGCGACGCTGAGAAACGAGTCGTACTCGCGATGGCACAGCGACCTTACGCGGTGGCCTACGCAGGCCGCCGGCGCGGCACGCTACATGGGAGACGAGGGCGCTTACGCTCGACCTTACGCGGGCAGCTCATGCGCCAATGTCGGCGCATACGGCCCCCACTTCTTCCCTTGATCGTATGTCAACGACCGCGCGGTTCTTTTCTTGGTCTGTGTGAGCGAAGCTGGAGGTCCATCCTGGCCCCAGTCCTTGTCAACAGTTCTGGCACCGCCGATGAGGTGCTCCTTGTGCGCTCGCTGCGTGGGGGTCCACCCTGGCCCCCCGCTGCTGCTCCAACAGTCCTGACACCGATCTGGTGCTCTCCCTCGCCGCCCTTGCTGGCGTCTCCTCCTCCCCGCTATCCTCCATCAGCCCCTCCTCGTCGCTCCCCCCTCCCTCGGCCGCCATGGCCGCCGCCTGCTGCGCGGGCCCCTCGCGGCGCTCTTCGACAAGGCCTGGCCCCTGGGCTGAGTCTGACGAAGCCCGCTGCCTGTTCTCCCTGGGCATCGGTCCGGCCAGGCGGCCCCCTTTCATCGAAGGCACCAGCGAAGCCTGTTTCAGTCGCCAGTCCGTCGGCTCTGCTGCGGTCCCGTTGGTGCTTCTCGGCAGCACCTGGTCCCTGGGCTGCGCCTGGCATGCGTCCCTGCCCTCGCCTGGACACCCGTCGGGTCCGGCAGTTCCACTGGGGCCCAGCGCGCCCCAGGTGTCGGCGGTGGACAAACCTCCCTTTAGTAGACCTCCCCTTAGTGGAAACGGCCTGGGACCGAAACCGACGGACCTGGACCCGCAAAAATGACGGCCGCGACGCCCTCTCGCGAAACGAAAACGGCCAATTCCTTAATCGACGTGTCAGAGTAGGAGGTCTGTCCACCCCCGAAGGTGGGGCATCGCTGGGGCCCCCCCCCCCCGCCAGACGAGGTGTCCGCCAGCGGGCCGCTGCCCCCTCGTGCCCGGCCCTGCTCCTCGAGGAGCCCTGTGCGTGCGCGCGCGACCTGAGTGCGGGCCTCCCCCCTGCTCCTCCTGCTTCTCCTCCTCCTCCTCCTCCTCCTGCTCCTCCTGCTCCTCCTGCTCCTGCTCCTGCTCCTGCTCCTGCTCCTCCTCCTCCTCCTCCTCCTCCTCCTCCTCCTCCTCCTCCTCCTCCTCTCCCAGAAATCAAGAATTGCATGACGATTCACGCACAAGCAGCTGGAATCCAGCAGTAGACTGGCCAGGCGTCCTCCGCCGCTGGGTTGCATGGAGGGCGCTGCAGAAAACGGGTGCGTAGCGCAAATAGGCCTTCGTTACGTCTGCCGTAAACGCACTTCGCGACATGGTGAGCAGATGCAGCGGAGGCGGAGGCGGAGGCGGAGGCGGAGGAGGAGAAGGAGGAGGAGGAGGAGGAGGAGGAGGAGGAGGAGGGAGAGGAGAAGGGGGAGCAGGAGGGGGAGGAGTGCAAGAGGAAGACAATGAGGAGGACAAGGACGAAGAAAGAACAAGCGGAGCAGAATGAGGAGAAACATAAGGCGGATAACATTAAAGATGATGCGGAGGAGGGAGGAGGAGAAGCACGAGCAGGACGAGGAGGAGAGCAATGAGGCTGAGGAGGAGACGAGGAGCAGGAGGAGGAAAGGTTGGAGAAGGAGGGGGAGGATGACGTCGAGAAGGGGAAGGGCCAGGGACAGAACGATCAGGGGAAGGAGGGGACGTACCAATAGCTTAGCTGCCCCGTTTCGCAACACGCAACCCGCAGCGTGTTGACACGGAGCTCATCACGTAGACTGCAAACCTGGGTCTGGCGCGATAGCTCCGCCAACACGTGGACCGGCACGTGCCGAGCCAACGCGCACCGTGCTAACACGCACGTCCTGAGCATGGCACGCGTTGCGCTTCAACACGGTAGTATCAGGGCAGCTAAGAGATTCAGGTGTTCCAGAGTTCCAGTGGTACAGTCGGGGCGTTGACCTAAGGAACCCTAAATAAGGAACGAGGCCCCTTTCTCCAAAAGGTAGACTTCGATTTCCCATGAAAAACCCTCAGGAAAACCCCAGGCAAACTGTAAAACAATCAGGGAACACCAAGCCCTCCCCATCGAAAAGGGTTCCTTCTTCAGCGCCCCGACTGTACCAGCAATGAAAAGAAGTCTCCAGCATGGCCAGCAGCATGTCCAGCAGCGCACTGCCAGAGCGCAGGGAGCCGATGAGCGAGGAGCCCGGGACCTGGGCGCCGCGGCGCCGCTGGCCGCCGCCCCCCTGCGGCCCCCCCCTCTGCCGCTCCTCTTCCATCTTCTTCCCCCCCCTCGCCTTTACGAATTTGGAGGCGAAGCTGCGAGTCCCCTCTCAGATACGCAGACTGGCTTCAGCAGGCTGATCCAGATGGTGGTCAAGTGCGCCACTCTGGTACAGAAGATCAGGGCCTCGGTACTGTGTCGTCGGGGGTCGAGCCAATCTGCGTAGAGTGTGTGTGACTATCTTGGGGAACTCAATCTCGACAGTTCGATCGAATCCTTGCTCTAGCCAAGGTGCGATACGGTGTGATTTGGCCACCGCCCTGCCCAGACCCAGCAAAACCTTAATGGTTGGGAGAAGGGTTTAATCAAGACTGGAACTTGACATGCTCTTTGGACGTGCAGCAATGCCACCCACACCCGGGGCAATGGAGCCTACATCCCTAGTGTGCCGTTCGAACCCTGGCGGGGTGGAACCCGTTACCGAGCGGCCCATCTTTGATGGGAGAGCAAAACTGTGTCCAGCATCAAGCCTCTCCCGAACTCATCCGTGAAGCCCGCCGGGCCACCAGTCCTGAAAACAGGGGAATGATTTTGCTCGAGAAGTCTTCGCCCTTCCCGTGGAGGTTACCAGCTCCGTAGTCCCCCTGAACGTGGTACAGTGGAGGCCCGGCCACAAGAAACCCAAACCTGAGACCTCAGGACGTCCGTAGATTCTGGGTGTGGAAGCGTCGCGCCTTCCATGGCAAAACCATCGAAACTCAAGAAACCCAGGGCACCCTGGAGGCAAGCAGGATGTTTCTTGGCATGGGCCCCCACTGTAAGGCTGGTGGGCAGTGAGAGGCCTCCGCTTCCCGAACATGCCTCGAGCGTTGGGTGCCTCCACGGACCATGGCCGCAGAGACTTCGGGAGACTGACGCTCTGTTGACACTACGCTGTTGAACGTACCTCACGGCTCAAATCTTCAACTCGCGGTCAAGAGATCCCTTCGCTCTGGTCAGGTGTTCGGCTTCTGCTGCATGTCACTGTGAAGGGGCCCCAGGACACACAAATAAATACGCACAAGTTAAAGATTCCCAGATACGTTTTCCATATTTTCTTGGTTTTTGTTTTCCCCCCACTTCCCATATTTTCCAATATTTTCCTGGGAGTCGACGATTCATTGTGTCTGTGTGTTTCTTTCCCTCCTGCCACCATACGACTGGTGGACTTCCGTCGGCCCGGTGCGGCTGCAGGGGCCCTGAAGGCCGCCTCGAGGCCTCTCGAGCGGGGCGCGGCCAGCGACGGTCGCCAGGGGAGGACCGAGGAGGCCAGGATGCAAGGGTACTCCAGATTTCGTAATAAAGGGAGGGGGGTCTCATTTCGGGGGGGGGTCTCTTCCAGGCTATCTTGGAGGGCCTGGGGGGTCTGGGGACGATATTTTGGAGGGTTCTCCCACGGGGGAGGTCTGAAATGGCTTGTCTTGGAGGGTCCAGACCCCCTCCCTTTTATTACGAAATCTGGGGTACCATTGTCGGGAGCGGCCAAGAGGGGGGTGTCCAAGAGGGGGGGGGTGCACATCATGGCCGGCGGCATGTGCGCGGCCCAGGTTGGGAGCCAGGAGCATAATTATTGAAATGAGAAGAGGCGCCATGAAATCTGGGGAAGTATCATGCCCCCCGCCATGATATCCACCCCGCACTAGTCATCACCCCCCTCTTTTCGGCCCCCGACACTGGGAAGGTGGCCCATCCTCTCTATGCGGGTTGACTGCGCTCCAACCTTACGAACTCAGCGGCAAGCCCAGGGGGGAAGTGAGAAGGAGAAGGCCTTCTCAGAAGGCTCGGAAATTTCCCGGCCTTCTGAGAAGTTGTCCACGCCTCCCACGAATACGCAAAAAAAACTTCTCGGAGGGCGCGAGGGCTTCTGAGACGTCCCGCCGCCTTCTGAGAAGGCGTTCCCCTTCTCGCTTCCCCCCCCCTCGGGTGCGCCGCCGAATGTGGTTTTGTTGGTCGTAGCTCGGGTCTCTGGCGGCCCTTCGGGACGATCCCTGCACCCCTGGAACGCCCTCGCCGAGGCGCAGCCGCCGGAACGCGTCCCGAGGCTGGAAGACCGGCGAGAGCACCGACGATACCGTCCGAAAACATCGCTCGTCGCTGCAAAACGCCTCAGGGGCCCAAGGGGGGGCTTGCCGTCGCTCGGACGTCCATTTCCCATGCGTTTTTCGGTTTGGTGCGTGTTGATTTGTTTTGTTCCTCGATGGTCCAGGATGGTCGCCGATGGTTCTCGCCGGAAGAATGCATACGTCCGAGCGATGCCAAGGGGGGGGGCGCCGGCAGACCCCAGGCCGAGAGCCTGGGCCTCCTCCCAGCGTGTTCCGATCCTCCTCCTCCTCCTCCTCCTCCTCCTCCTCCTCCTCCTCCTCCTCCGCCTCCTCCTCCTCCTCCAGCCATTCTGCGCCGAGCCGCCTTTGCGCCTGCAGAGAGGCGGGACGGTGCTGGAGAGCGCCAACTTCAGAGTGGCACTGCGCTCTCGAGCTACTTCATGGCCCCAAGCTCCTAGTCGCGGGATGGAGGCTGGGCTTGCAGCGTATGCAAAGTTCGGAATGGGGACGGCTACGATTTCTGCTGGAAGTGCTGGAAGGTTCGCGACTCCGCGAAGACGGCGAACCACGGGGCGGCCAGCTCCCAGGACGACACAGAGGCCGAGGATGCCACCAAAGCAAAGCTCAAGAAGTTACGGGCTCACCTGGCAGAACTTCGGCGGCAGGCGGAGGACCCAGACTTGGCCAAACACGTCCAGGGGAACATCGACATCGTGCAGAAAGAAGTTGATGAATTGCAGGCAGCTGTCGACAACGGCAGCGACATCCCACGTTGCTTCTCGGAGTGCAAGCTGGTCCGAGAGAGGAACAAAACGCAGGCGCAGCGAGAGCGTGCACAGGAGCGGGTCGAGAAGCTGGAGCAGGAGATCAAGGAGGCCCAGGAGAGGCTCGACAGGGAGAAAGCCCTCTTGGCCAGGCAAGATGAGAGATTGCAAAAGCAGAGTGCCCGTATCGAAGAGCTCAGCGTGCCCAAGCCGGGCAAGGGCTGGGGAGCGGCCGTATCGTTCCTGGAGCAAGCCAAGAAGTGCCTGCGCGACCAGGAGACCGACACCAAGATCGCCGAAGCCCTCTGCCACGCGCAGCAGCTGCGCACCGCCGAGGAGGAGCGAGCTGCAGCCGCCGCAGCGGCAGCAGCCGCCAAGGCCAAGAAGGAGGCTGACGCCGCAGCGCGGGAGGCCGCCCACGACACGCAGCAGAGGAACAAGCGTAGAGCTGAGGAGGAGATCAAGCAGGATTTGGTCTCTTTTCCCCAGAGCGCCGACTCGACGCAGCTCACCAAGATCATGCAGGAGGCAGGCTGCACAGCCGAGCAGATCGAGCGCCATCGGCCTCACCTTCTGCCTCTGCTTGCTGGCATGCAGCCTGACACCGCGCTCGCCATCAGCAAGAGCACGTGGACGGCCCCGCCGTCTTCCTGACGAAGAGCAGGGGCAGGTGTTCTTCACCATCAATGCGAACTCCATCGGCACGCTGGAGCGGACTATGCGCTCCATCAGGTACACGTACAAGGAACCCATTATCATGGCGCAGGAGCTGCATGCAAACGAGCACAGCATCTCCTGCTTCACGCAACGCATGCAGAAGGAGGGCTGGAGGCTGGGCATTGCGCCGAGCGTCCGCACCGCACGGGGGGGCTGGAGTGCAGGGGTGCTCCTGGCGACAGTGCGGCTAAACAACATGAGCTACGCCAGGGGGCTCGACACGTGGGACACCTCGCCCCGCGAGTCCAAGGGCCGCCTAGCGATCGGCTGGGTACGCGCCCGCGGCAAGGACCTCGGCAAGGAGGGCACCACCATAGGCGCGGCCTACCTCTGGGTCAGCGAGGGCATGACAGACCGCAACAGGGCCATCTTTCGGAACTTCACTACGGCCGCGGCGGCGGCGGGGAAGTACTGGATCCTGGGCGGCGAGTTCAACATGGACCCAGCAGAGCTACAGCACACAGGGGTGATCAACAGGATGGACGGGGTCATCGTGTTCGACACCTCCCGCGGCTCGTGCGTCACACTGGGCGAGGCACGGCACCGTGACTACTTCATCATGTCCAAAACGCTCCTGGACGGCCCGCTCCACGTGGCCGTGCAGGATCAGTACAGCACGGCGCCGCACTCACCTGTGCGCCTACGAGTTCCCCGCCTACGGGAAGAGGAACGCCGGGCACGGGCACTGCGGCGCCAACGGCGATGGCCACTTCAGCTGCCCACGGGCTGCGCGGCAGGGCCGACCTCGTGGCCACGACTCCTGGAACACCGTAGGCACACTCAGGGGGAGGTGGGCCGATATTGGGGCAGCCTGGCCAACACGTACGATGAACACCTTAACAAGTACTTCAACTACGATGGCATGGACTGGCACGATCGCAAGGGCCACCTGCAGCTGCCCACCCACGCATGGGAGCAGCTCAAGCCGCCCATGGTGCGCGAGGCCGCGCGAGAGCAACAGTGGGCGTGGGCGGAGGCAGCCGGATGGCTGGGACGCCGCCTGGAACACGTCAGCGCAGCAGTGCGAGCGCGGTGGAAGAACGGGAAGCAAGAGACGTTGGTCTGGGCGCAGAACAACGCCAAGGGCATCCTAGGGAAGGACATCATCGGCCCGCTCCTCGAGCGGAACCACCCAGCATGGCGCGCCGAGCCCGACCAGGAGCGGGGCAATGACGACGCCACAGACGAGCAGGGGAACTCATACCTGGACGAGTTAAGTTACACAGTGCGCCGAGTGGAGGAAGACATGGCGAGCCTCCCAGAGACTACTCCTCGGCGGACCCCCGCTGTCCTCGGCCTCACGGCCTCGCAGGACTGCCCGTTGGTCGGGGCGGATGCGGCAGGAGAGCGCCGCCGACCGACGGGGCGGGGGCGCTACACGGATATCGATTGGGGGAAGATGGTGAATACGGTCGCCTGGATCGACGCTGAGCACATAACCGAGAGGGGCTTGCACTACGTGGACTGCGTGGCCAAGCTCATGACAGTGGCCAGCCAGCACACGTGGCGGCGAGTGCGACAGGAAGCAGCCCGAGACTGGCGACGCTGGGTGACCAAGCACAGCCAGGCGGGAGCGGGGGCGCTGCGCAAGTGGACTAAGCCGCCTGTGCCATGGGCCCCGACACAGCCGACAAAGTCCCACACCCAGCAGGAGCCCACGCACCCGCAGGTGGCAGCGGACACGGCGCTGGAGGGCTGGGATACGGTCTGGGCGGACAGCTACAACGCCGACGAACCGTGGTGCCAGGCCCCCAGCGACGACGAGTGGAGCGAGTTCAGGGCCCCGAGGATCACTTCGAGGGACCTCGTCGAGGCTTGCGGGCGGTTCCGCGCTGGGACAGGCCTGGGAGAAGCACCCGCGTCTCTGGCGACGCGGCGGGTTCGCAGGAGCGGCACGCGTGGCAAGCGTGCTCAACGCGGTGGAGCGAGGAGCGCCCTGGCCCACGTCGCAGGCCACCATCCTCTTCTACCTCACGCCGAAGGCGGCAGGTGGCTTTCGGAACCTGGGCCTCATCCCTGAGCTGGCGCGAGCGTGGGGGGCCATCCGCATCCCCTACGCGAGGCGATGGGAGGCAATAAACAAGCGGGCCTGTGACTGGGCACGCCGAGGGTGATCGTCGGAACGCGCGGCCTGGCTACAGGCACTATGGTGTGAGGCCGCGCGGGCCGACGGACACGACTATGCGGTCACCTACTTCGACTTAATCAAGTGCTTCGAGTGGGTCACCCATCGGAAGGTCTGGGAGGCGTCGCAGAGGTGGGGCTTCAATCCAATCATCATGCGGACCGTCCTCCAGATCTATTGCATGGTGCGGCGCATCGTCCTGGACGGGTGCTACACCGACGGCAAGGCGTGGCAACGCGGCATCGTAGCGGGCAGCAGGTGCGCACCGTTCTGTCTCAAGGTGGTGATCATCCTCGAGCTGGACGAGCTGGCGCACCAGTTCTCCTGGGCGGACACGTGCCTTTTCTTCGATGACCTCGCCATGGCCACGCACGGCAGGCACGACTACGTCGACGAGGTTCACCCGCGGCTCATCGAGGCCGTGGTCACCATGTTCGAGACCACGCTGGGCATGGCCGTCTCGCGGGGCGTGGATGGGGAAGACGGTCACCCTGGCCTCCTCCACCGCGCTGGGCCAGCGCGTCGACAAGAGCACCAGGCACCTCGGCGTGAGAGTGGTCAAGCACGAGAAGCACTTGGGAGTGACAGCGACAGCATGCGGACGGAGGAGAGTGGCCGCCATCAACAAGCGGGCGCTCAAGTTTGCAGCGAGAAAGGCACAGGTGGCAGCCGTGCGCAGAACAGGAGGTGCGGCACACAAGCTGATTCGACAAGCCACAGTGCCAGCCCTCCTCTACGGAACCTCCGTCGTCGGCACGGCGGACTCAAAGCTCGCCGAGCTCAGGAAGAACGTGGCGGCGGCGATGGAGGGGAACAACAAGGGAAGGTCCACGGCGCTTACTCTGCTCAGCGACATGACCGACCCAGGCACCCTCGCCAACAGTGGCCCCATCATCGCCTGGGCCACGGCTTGGCAGGAAGCGCTCGAGGACGACCAGTTGGCCGCGCGGCTCCAGAGCGCGTGGCACACCTGGGTGATGAAGATCTTCAAGTGCAAGGCACCCTGGCTCACAGTGCGGGGGCCAGCGGGGGCGTTCGTGGCGACGGTCAGGCGCCTCGGCTGGATGACGCAGGCCTCGCACTCAGTCACCATCGACGGCAACGTGCTCGACCTCCGCTACACCGTGCTGCAGGAGATCCAGCACCACGTCGCGCGGGCCACGGAGAAGCAGTTGCAGGACGAGTGGTTGGGCCAGCGCGGCCGCCAGTTCGGCATCACCTCCATCTTCCTGGCACCGGTGCAAACACTACTACGACGACCCCTCCAGGGCCGCTGGACGCAGGCCAACCGCACTCGAGTGAGGGGCCTATTCTGCGGAGGGACGTGGCCGCAGGAGCGGCTACATGCAGCAGGAGTTGCTACCGACAGCACATGCAGAGCGTGCGGGCTGGCGCCAAGCACCGACAGGCACCGCACCTTCGTGTGCCCAGCGCGCCAGCCACACCGTGACGTTGTCGGAGGCCACCAAATTCAGCAGCGAGGAGCCAACCCCTGGCCAGGCCCAGGAGCCGATGCTCTCTGGGGGCGCGGCATCACGGCCGACCCCGCCGAAGAGCTAGGGCTATGGAAGCTAGCATCGTGCGACGACTGGCTCACCGAGGGCAACTGGGACGGCCTCGCGACAGGGGACATCTACGTGGACGGTTCGTTGCAGTACGGCGACTACGCACCACTGCGACGAGGAGGATGGAGCTTTGCCAAGGTCAAAGACAACGACGAGTACGACATGGACTACGTGTGCTACGGGCCCCTCCCTGGCGCACAGTGGGTCCAGAGCATCCTGCGGGCGGAGCTCTACGCGCTGCTGCAGGCCCTACGTGTGGGCACCCCGCCCATGCGCATCTTCACCGACTGCCAGAACGTCGTAGACGGCGTGATGGCGGGACCAGCCTGGCTCGACAAGAGGAGCCGCCCGCACCTCGACCTCTGGGAGTGCATCGCCCAGGCCACCGCAGAGCTCGGAGGCCTGGGCCCGCGCACCGTGCAGGTGCTGAAAGTGAAGGCCCACGCGACGCGCACCGAGCGTGCAGCTATCGGGCGCGCGCAATTGGAAGGCAACAAAATTGCTGATCAGTATGCCAAGCAGGGAGCTCTGTATCATACCCACCCTGTTTGGTGTAGAGAGGCCTACATACAGAAGTATCGACTGGTTCGGGACATCTTGGAATTCGGAGCCTACATAGGAGTCCTGGGCCGTGATGACATTGTCGACACTGAGCAGGGTTCGAGACCGACGGACTCGAACCCCCCCGACCCCCCCTCGGACCTCCTGGACTCTCCTGGGAACCTGGGGGCGGTCGTGGGCGAGGAGGGCGGGGCCCTGGTGGCCCCTGAACCCCCTGCCCCGCCCCTGGGGGCTGACCCTCCGTCTCGGGCCGCTCTGGACTGGGGGTGCACCAGGGTCGACAGAGCCCATAGAGCGGGGCACAACATCGTGACGTCTTTTGTCGCAGGTGTGCCAGGTACGCCCGTGACAGGTGGACTGGCCTACTTTCTCCATGTAGCCCTGGGGCCCAAAGGGTGATCGGGGGTAGGCTGACGCGGTTGTGGAATGGGTTACACCCCACCACCAACCAGCCCCTGTAGGGGCTCCTGGAGTCGAGGGTCTGGCTCGGGGACGGCCCGAAGCGGCCTGAGGCTCCCACGGCACGAAAGCGTAGGCGGTCGTGATCCGTTTTGGCCCGCACTTATCCGCACTTATCCTCCTCCTCCTCCTCCTCCTCCTTCTCCTCCTCATCCTCCTTCTCCTCCTCCTCCTCCTCCTCCTCCTCCTCCTCCTCCCTCCTCCTCCTCCGCCTCCGCCTCCGCCTCCTTCTCCTCCTCCTCCTCCTCCTCATCCTCCCTGCTCCCTCCTCCCTGCTCCCTTCTCCCTCCTCCCTCCCTGCCTCCCTCCCTCCCTCCTCCTCCTCCTCCTCCGCCTCCGCCTCCGCATTCGCCTCCTTCTCCTCCTCCACCTCCTCCTCCTCCTCCTCCTCCTCCTCCTCCTCCCTCCTCCTCTCATCCTCCCTCCTCCCTGCTCCCTCCCCTCCCCCTCCCTGCCTCCCTCCCTCCCTCCCTCCTCCTCCCCTCTCCTCCTCCTCCTCCTCCTCCTCCTCCTCCTCCTGCTCCTCCTCCTCCCCTCCTCCTCCTCCTCCTCCTCTCCTCCTCCTCCCCCCTCCTCCTCCTCCTCCTCCGCCTCCGCCTCCGCCTCATTCTCCTCCTCCTCCTCCTCCTCCTCCACATCCTCCTCCTCCTCCTCCTCCTCCTCATCCTCCCTGCTCCCTCCTCCCTGCTCCCTCCTCCCTCCCTGCCTCCCTCCCTCCCTCCTCCTCCTCCTCCTCCTCCTCCTCCTCCTCCTCCTCCTCCTCCTCCTCCTCCTCCTCCCCTTCTCCCGTCCTCTCCTCTCTCCTCCTCCTGCTCCTCCTCCTTCCTCCTCCTCCTCCTCCTCCTCCTCCTCCCCTCTCCCTCCCTCCCTGCCTCCTTCCCTCCCTCCCTCCCTCCCACCCTCCCTCCCTCCTCCCTCCTCCGAGACCAGGTCCCAGCCACGAGTTTGAGTCCTGCGGGGCCAGAGACCGAGCAAGCATCACGGCGCTGGAGGTACGGTAGGAGCTCGACCACGAGAAGCCTTCCACAAGAGGCCCAACCCTGAGGCCCCAAGACGCCCACATTGATTCTTGGTGTGGGAACGCCGCGCCTTCCACTGCAAAAAACCATCGAGACCAAACCCAGGGGCACCATAGAGGCAAGCCGGGTGCTTCTCGGCGTGGGCTTCCACCGTACCGCCTGCATGCGTTTCCGCATCGCCGACCCGTGAGCCACGCCCCGCTCAGACAATCGTGGGCGCAGGGGCGCATCTCGAGAAAGACTGAGAGGACCCTCGTCTTATGTTGTTCCCATCCTACTTAACGACCGCATCCCAGAAATAATTTCGAGCACCCGGAAAAGTGTCAAAAGAGTGTCAAAGGAGTGTCGAAACAGTGTCGGGCGAGTGTCTCCCAGGGCCCGACACGTGAAAACCGGTGAGTTTCGGTACTGTTTGTGGCGCTCGAAATTCTTTATGGTGATCAAGGCTAAAGTAGGTTGGAGCATCATAACCCTCGTCATGCACCTCCCCCTCCCCTTCCTCCCACTTTTCTGTTTCCACTTCCTCATCCTCCAACTTCCATCCTCCCCCTCCCTCTCCAGATCCTCAGCCAGTGTGTTTGGATTGCTCTCTGCAGTTGCGTGTGCAGCCCGCCGCTAGGAAAGACTTGGGGCACGGATTCGTCGTGATTGATTCATCGGATGGCCGGCTCGCTTGCGTCTCCAAGAAGTGCCACTTTTCTGCGTCAATATCATGCCTGGAGCATTTACCCAATACGCATGCTCCTGACAAGGTGGTCTCACACAGCGATGCTCTGACCGAAAACAGGTTGATGCCACTTTTGTTGTCGGCACGTTGGACAATATGTTTGCAAACCTGCTTGGCCTGCTCTCACCAGGAGTTCGAGGCGAATCCAGCGGTGACGACGAGGGACCCCCAGGAAGCCCAAAAAGGGGAAAATGAGGGATGGAAAGCGGTATGGGTACATTTTCCTCCTCGGATATCTGGCTTGTGTAGCCCATTGCAGCTTCGGCAGGGTTCACTCGCGTCGTGCCTGCTGACCATTTGGGCCGAAGGAGGGTTCACTCCGCTCCTCCTCCTCCTCCTCCTCCTCCTCCTCATCATCATCATCGTCATCATCATCATCATATCATCATCATCATCATCATCATCATCATCATCATCATCATCATCATCATCATCATCATCATCATCATCATCATCATCATCATCATCATCATCATCATCATCCTCTTCCTCCTCCTCCTCTTCCTCCCTGCTTCCGCTGCTGCTTTTTCTCTTCATACTCGTCCTGCTTCTCCTTGCACTTGTCCTTCTCCTCCCTCCCCCAAAAACTGCACACTGTGAGTGATGCTCGCCATTTACCCTGACGGTGTGCCGCGCGCTCCCGCGTGCTCCGTGTAATTGTGGTTTTCACGCATCGGCCTTCATTTGTTTGCCTTCCCCGTGCCCTACCCAGACCGCTCTCGGTCGATCACACAGTCTAGGCCAGTCAACAAGAAACCTTCCACAAGAAACCCAAACCCTGAGACCCCAGGACGTCCACTGACTTCTGGTGTGGGAACGTCACGCTTCCCATGGCAAAGCCACAGAAACCCAAGAAACACAGGGCACCCTGGAGGCAAGCAGGGAGTTTCTTGGCATGGGTCTCCACTGTGACTGGCTGCCCCGCTGCAGCTTCGGCCACACTTCCGGATCCGCGCCTCGCTCCGGTCGCTCAGCACGGCGCTCTGGTCCCAGTGCGGGCCACGTGTCTGGACCCGATCTTCGTTCCCCGCCAGTGCTGCTGCCCACTTCCTCTCCCCTCCTCCGCCGTCGCTTGACCCCCCTGCACCTCCAACTCCTGTGCATGCTCCTACTCCATCTTCTCTCTTCGAGTCTTCCTCTCCGCCTTCTGCTCTTCTTCGTCCTCCTCCTGAGTACAAAATGGCCCCTTCCCAACTGCGCAGCAAACGATAGCCAAACCCTGCGACTGAAACTTGAGCATCAAGGTTCTCTAGGGTCCCCCGATGGGCGGATAGAAAGAACGTGCGGCGCAATGGGGAAGGATGGGTGGGATGGGAAGAGTGAGCACATCTGGCTTGCCCCCCTCTCCCCTTTCCCTCCTGCCCCTCCGCCTGTTCCTCCTCGCTCTTCCCCCTCCTCCACCCACTTTCTGGTTGTCTGTCTGCTGCTGCCTGCTGCCACCGCGCCCCCAAACTTCCCAGGGAAAGGGGAAGGGGGGATGGAGGAAGAGCGGGGGGGAGGAGGAGGTGAGATGAGGAGAAGAGAGGTGGAGGCGGAGGTGGGGGAAGAGGACAATCATATATGAGGGAGAAGAGAAAGGCGGAGATAGAGGGAGAGAGAGAGAGAGAGAGAGAAGCAGAGAGAGAGAGAGAGAAAGAGAGAGAGAGAGAGAGAAAACAACAAAGAGAGGAACAGAGAGAGAGAGAGAGAGAAGCAACTATATAGAGAGAAAGAGAAACGAAGAAGCGCGAGCGACAGAGAGAGAGAGAGAGAGAGAAACAAGCAAACAAACGACACAACATAAACAACAACAGCAAGGAGAGAGAGGGAGAGAGAGAGAGAGAGAGAAAGGGAGTACCCAACCACTTCTCCCCCCCTCCTCCCCCCTCCCCCCCCCGCACACACAAACCCACACACACAGACACACACACACACAAACACAAACACACACACACAAACGCAAACACAACCACACACAAACACACACACAAGCACACAGGCACACACAGACACAAACACACACACACAGACACACACACACACACACAACACACACAACACACACACACATACACACACACACACACACGCACGCCCGCGCGCGGCGTCTCCTGGCGCCCGCTGGGCCTTGCCTGGGAGTCCGTTGCGCAAGAGTTTCGGGCAGCGGCGAGCGGCGGTGAAGGACGGGACGGCGCACAGCAGGTCCCGCTCACTGCCATCCCCGGTGGCTGGATGCGGTTGGCGTGGTGGTTGCTCAGCCACGCCAGAGTGTGGGAGAGGTGGCGCTGCGCCCGGGCCGCCGCGTACTGGGCGCGCCCGAGGGGCGACCCCTCGTTGTCGAGGAAGTCGGGCTGCTGCCTGGCTTGCTGACTGCGCGGGGCTGCTTGGCCGACACCCATCCGACCGCTGCGACGCGGCAGGTCGGGGAGGCGCCCACGGAGCACCCCCCCGACCGCTGGATCGCGGTGGCAACGGGGCGCCCACAGCCCGAGAGCCGTTCATGTGCCACTGGCCGCGGCTGTGGAGGCAGGTTGGGCCCCAGAAGTCGCGGCGGGCGTGGGCAAGCGCCGCGACTGCTGAGGCCCACCAGGCACTTGGGGCCGCCGGGCATGCCGAAGCACGACCCGAGGCCAACGGGCAAGCCTCCTGGTACATGGCGGATGCCGGCGGCACCCAAGGCCACGTGCAGATGGAAGCGCACTAAGACTTCCCAGAGATCCGACGTCGTGATTTGTTCAATACGCGGTCCCCCGAAGTCTCGACCCATTCCCCAAGACCAGTTTCTCATCCTGAGTCGTTTTTTGACGGTCCCGGGGCCCGGCGAGGGCCCCTAGAGGCCGAACATCGAGAAAAACCTTCGTCTTGATTTTTTCAATACGTTGGAGGTCTGGGTTCTTGCTGGTGGCTCAGCATGACGTGGTGAGCAGGGCATGGCGCGAGAGAGGCGATGCGGCAAATCCAGGCGGCGGCCCGCCGTCCTGTCGAGATCCGGGCGGCGCCGATGGCATGAGCGCGCGGCCCGGCCTTGGGAAGGGCCCTGCCCCCCATGTGCTATCCCGCAGCGCCGCCAGCTGTTCGTCGGTAAGCCATCCTACCTTCGGACCGTGGGCGGCGGCCGCGCAAGCCGCGCAGGTCGTGCCGAGGTGCGGCCGGGAGGTGCGGACCTCACTGGAGCCAAAAGGGGAGGCATCCATCATGGTCCGCCACCACTCAGG